CAGTTGAGCTTCTTTGAGGACTTGCAAAACCTCCTCAAGATGCTTGACGTGCTCATCCATGGACTTGCTGAAAATCAGAATGTCATCAAGGTACATAACCACAAACCTGTTAAGCTGATGGCGGAGTACCTTGTCCATGAGACACTGAAATGTGGCTGGTGCATTCGTCAGACCTAAGGGCATAATGATGAATTCGTATAGCCCATCGCGTGTCTTGAACGCAGTTTTGTGCTGGTCGCTCGGATCAACTTCAATCTGGTGGTAGCCAGACTTGAGGTCGATCTTGGAGAAGACTTTGCAACCACCGGCCGCATCTAACAGATCATCTATACGAGGCAAAGGGTAGGCATTTTTCCTTGTAATTCGATTCAAGCCACGATAATCAATGCACATCCGGAGTTTGCCTCCTTTTTTTGGCACAAACAAGACAGGTGCGCCAAATTCAGACTCGCTAGGCCTAATCCATCCACGATCAATCATATCATCAATTTGTCTCTGCAGGTCCTCCAACTCGCCTTGTCCCATGCGGTAGACGCAGCCCTTTGGATGAACACTCCCTTCTATTATCTCGATTTTGTGCTTGACTGGACGCTCGGGAACTCCGCGAGGTTCAGCCAACACTTCAGGAAATCGATCCAATAGATGGCGAATGTTTGCTGGGATTTCTGGTGGAGGATCATCCTCATCAGGGGAAAGAAAACCAAATTGAGAATTTACAGCAATCACAACCGGTTTCGAGGTATTTGGATCAGAAACAGGTTGGTTATTTACATTAGAAGTAGGTGGTGCAGTAGCAGAAGTAGTACAGGTAGAGTTACCTTTAGAAAATGCAGCAAAAGGAGAAGGCACATGGAGAGGCTTTACAAGAGCTATATGTACAAACTCAGCTTCCTTGCGCCTGCGCACTGACCTGCAGAATTTGTTTGCACTTAGAAGAGTCACAGGGAACTCGCGCGTCTCGTCTAGTAAGACGGTACGCTCGTTCCCCTTGGCATCAAGTACCACGAACTGATTGTTTGCCCACCTGGTCCTTAGGCAATGAGCCTTTAGCCAGCCAAAGCCAATGACCGCGTCAAAAGGACACTTGTCCAAGACATAAAAATTTAGCTCATGTGTGATAGTGCGATCTTTGTCAAAGGTGATGCGCACACCTTTGACAGTATGAGTGGAAGTGACAACCTCTTGGTTGCCCACCTGAGTCCGGCAAGGGTTCTGCAGTTCCACTTGCTTCATACCCAGGCCCGCCTTACGAGTCCCGTTCGGAGAGAAGAAATTAGTGGTCGAACCACTGCCAATCAGCACACGGATGTATCGGCGGTTAATGAGTAGTTTAAAGAAAATCAGCTCCATGCTCCCTTGAACACCGCGTTGCTGCTTGAGCTGCAGCCAATGCTCCATGTGGGCGTGGAGGTCGACCTCTTTAGACTCCTCCCAACGCTCAGACTGCATCAGCCTTGGAATCAACATTAGTTTGGGCTTCAAGAGCACGCTGCTGATCAGATCCAGGCTCCTCGGAAGGGCCTGCAACTGACTGCCCAGCTTCCCTTGCTGTAGAGAGTGCTGATGACTCCTCTACGCCCCTTGCCTGTTTCCCTGAAGGCGATAGCAATCCTGCACAGCATGCCCAGGCTTTTGACAATGCAAGCATACGCGCAGTTTGGACCTTCTTTCCCATTCTTTTTGGCTAATGTGGAGGGCTTCCCAAGGCTTGGTAGAAGCGTCCTCCGGTTTCTCAGGGATCTTAGCATTTTTGGGAAGGTGTAAGACAGTTCCCTTACCCGAACCACGGTTAGGCCCCTTATTTGCAGCAGTCTTTCTGAATGCATTAAGTTTTCCATCGTCATTTCTGTCACACTCAATGGCTGATGCGGAACAGCCCGTATCGGAATCCGACTCTAGATCGTCATCTAGAGACAGATCATCCGCATAGGACTGATCTTCAGCCTCCCGATGATCATGCAGCGCAAGCTGGTTGCTGCTTCCAAACCGCTTGCGTTGTGGTTTCCCACCTGCAGCGGGCGCCTTCTTGCGCCTGACGAGGTCCTTGGCCTCTAGGTTGACTAGGTCCTTCATGAGCTCTCGCCAGGTGGCATGGTCCTTGAGTGCTAGCAGGGAGAGGTATTCTTTAGGGGCCACTCCCATGACTACATCCATATAAGATACGTCAGTCATTCCCAGATCCGGAGTGGTGAACAGACCAGTCAAGTGTTGTTCCAAAGCCTGGATGGATGACCTCCAAATTTGGCCCTTTGGGGCCTCAAGCTTCAGCCTAGCCTTGAGCGCAGCATGTTTATCTTGGTACCGGTCAACGAGAAGATCCTCAAGAGCGCAGACAGGGGTGACCTTCAGCCAATCAGTCAGGTCTATGCGTTCATAGCATGCAGCAACAGCTTGGAGCTCAATGTGGTCTGCCATTGGGCAGATGTGATGACCGCCATGCTGGAGGAAGGGGTGTCAGTAGAACTCTCAAGAGGGGTCCGCTCTCTCCTTACGTTTGGACAAACACTCCTCTTGCCCCTCCTCACACTCTCAAACAAAACACCTTCTCTCTCCCTTTCTTCTCTTTTCGCTGTCTGCGCACGCGTCTCAATACTTGACATAGATAGTTCAGATGAAAGAAACAAACTGAAAACCACTCAGAGAAGAAGGTAGAACTCCTAGCCGGAGCAGCGAATCATTTGGACTTAGAGCGTGGCACGCAGCAGAAGAATAAAGAAATAAACTAAATAAAAAAAATAAAACAGCAGAGAGGTCTGATTTATAGTACGGGCCCGATCAGATCAGCTGGAAATCCCCTCTTGTCTAACCTGACAGGGGACATGCATCACAATAAATCAGACGAAGAAGACTAATCTGCAGCAATGGAGATTTTGCGGGGTGCCGATCGTCGCCGAGTCAGACGGGGGGCAGTATGTGCTAACATGCAGTAAGGCCAGTCAAAATCCCCTTGAAAGGAATGCCCTTGCTGTCCGTACGTCCCCCTAGAAATGCACTGGCGGCAACAGATCTGGGCCCAAAAGGTCCTGTCCCGTTGGGCCTGGTCCCACAGGGTCCCGAGTGGTCCCAAGTAGGCCGTGGACCAGGACCAACGTGATAGGGGTACCAAGTCGTCCCAAACTGCCTCTACCGTACTGAAAAGGAAAAGACAACTTTCAGCAAGAACTTACGTCTACAGCCGTTCAGAAATGAAAAGACAATCCACCGTAGAAAGATATGTCATTTAGAGCAGATACATCATCCATCCATCCATCAGGTGAGAAAGCAATCCACAAGCTCACACACACAACTAAGACCGCAGAGAAGAGGAAGAGAACCCAGCACACCCCCAACAGGCCATGAAGCACCAAGCAACCTCCCACGGGCTTACCCAGGTCACACGACACTTACCTGTGAGGCCCGACCTCCAAAGATGGATAACGAGTCACTCCCCTCTCATATAAGTCCTCCTGACCCCTAGCTACCACTACACGAAGTGTCCTAGGATGACTAAGAGGGCCTTCCTACACCCATATTGCAAAGTCGGATCCCCCGTCGATGTCTAAAGACCAAAGTAGCAACTTGCAGCATTCCGATGCAGATATGGCAGCCTCCGATCAAGTCTCCCTCTTGAGGGGAAGCCCAAAAGTCACTCAATGTCTTCCTGAAGTCCTGATTCTAGGTGTGAGTACCTCTCACTCTCTACTCCCTCTCGCTTACTCCAAACAGCCTCCTTTGTGTCTCGCCACCCCATACATTCACTCAAGCAACCTGGTTGGGTCCAATGTCGACCCTACATGACCTAACCAGGTGGGGGCAGCATCCCCATACCTCGCTGCCCCACTTAACCCTAACTTCCCAACCCTAATCCGAGATTAGGTTAGCCTTAACCTAATTCGGAATTAGGGTTAGGGCGACTAACACCTCTCGCCAGCAAGTACACCCAATTGCGAAAGAAATGAAAGCACTTGCAAAGAGATAAAGACCAGAGGAGAAGAAGAAGAAGAAGAAGAAGAAGAAGAAGAAGAAGAAGAAGAAGAAGAAGAAGAAGTACACCAGCAAGACCAATGACAATTCCCCCTTCTCTCTCCACCTTCCTCCTTCCTCCTTCTCTTCACYAGTCTTATTCTTCTCTCATTAATAATAATAACAATGAATGGATGAACCAGAATCAATGTCCGAAGTTCCCTCTTACTGCTGACTCAACTCACAACAACAACAACATTAACAAGAAAGTCCACCATGGCCATGGCTTCCCTCCTTCATCCTCCTCTCCCATGCATAGGCCATGGCGGACTACTGGGAGGCAGCTATGATGCTGCCCTTATGTTCGAAAGACAACCCAAAGCAGCTATGTCGCTGCTTGGCTTGGTCCGCTATGCCTGACTCTGCCACGAGCTGCCCTGGTGCAGCGCTACCCCAACTGGGGCCTTCCAGATGCAGCGCCCGACAAGGTGATGAAGACGGTGTCCACCATAGCCAGGTAAGTGCCCTACCACTCTCCTACCATGCCCCCTTCTTCCTCCTCCTCAAGCTGGGGTGCTCGCCATAGCCAGGCTGAGCCCCAGCGGACCTTCACCTCCAAGCAGCGCTGCTTCAGTCCAGCGCTGCGCTCCAGCAGCATGTCGCCAATCCTTGCATACCGCAAATGAGGAAGAGCTCTCCGCTCTTCCTGAAGATATAGCGGCCTATCGGCCTCCTGGGGGGTGACTTCCTAGGCCAAGCGGTCTCCCAGCAACCGGTACCTCCTCCCTTTTGGAGGGAAACATCATTGCAGGCTCTGTTATTGTCCGCACAGGCCCTAGACCCGGGCTACTTGGACTGGTACCGGCCTACTACTAACCTACCGCTACTGGGCCTCTAAAAATGCCAACTTTTTGTCTTCTTTTGCTCGGCCTACTTGCTACTTGAGTGTTCTTCCCCAGCTGCTCTAAGTGTCGTGGGCCTACTCCCCGCTACCGGCATGTTTGCCCCCTCGCAACCCTTCAAAGTCACGACCACAGGTAAGTACCGGCCCGGTGGGCCTTGCAACCAACAAGTACCCTTGCGGGTCACACAAACATACCCAACCAGCAAGCACTCAGACAGGCATGCAAACCAGCAGGCACGCACACACACACAACTGGCAAGCACTCAAACAAGCATGCAAACCAGCAGGCACGCATACACACAGACTTGGGACCACAGCAGAATGCGGGAATCACAGCAAGGCATTCATTCCATTGGCAAATCCCAGAAATCAGCAGTGTTCCCAGTCTGTGTTTTTGGCGGGTCATTACATTACTCCCCTCTCGAGAGCGAGGTCCCTTCGAGCGAGTAACTCAGTCAGAGTCGGTATAGAACGCATCGTATGAGTACATCAGAAAAAGAGACTTGGTCAATTCATGAGGAGTCATTGTTGCTACGAACTTAGCGGTCTGTCCCTCGGTGATCTCTCTTTCGTAAGCATTCACAACACGGGGAGCACTCTTTAGGAGCTCTTTCCGGTCGATCCAGAAGAATTCAGTCAACGGGTGGTAGAGGAAGTGGACCTTATACTGTTTGTTCCTCCCTCTGCCCTCGTGAGATACAATTCTTTCTATCTCATGGCCGCCGTCGATAGGGCGAGGTATCAGCAGGTCCCGGAAAGGAAAGGTCTCATCATCAATGTGTGGGAATAGTTTGGACGCATGAAAGACTGGATACGTGCGCAGATGAGGATGCACGTCAATCACAAATGAAGGGCCAAAGTCATCCCCGACTACCTTCAGAAATGGAAGAAGCTTCCGTGATATGCCCTCTGCATCAGAAAGCTTAGACATTTTGACCCAAATATAATCTCCTACTTTTAATTTTTCTTCTTTGTGCAACTTATTGGCATGTTTGATCATGGCATGCTGACGCTTGTTCATAGCTGTTGTAGCAGCTTTGAGCAAGCGTGCGTACTTGGCATTGTAGCCAGGCATGCCGGGCATCAGACCAGGTGACCGTTCGGCGAACAAATAGGAGAGTGGATTACGCATTGGCCATCCATACTGCAACTAATTTGGTGTCACACCAGTTGCAGAGTGAATGGAGTTGTTGTACAGCCCCTTCACTTTGTGTAATTCCTTGTCCCATGTGTTCTGATCTGGAACAATCAGTGCGCGTAGAAGTTGGATGACAGTCTGGTTGATCTCCTCGGCCAATCCGTTGGCTTCGGGGTGTCGACCAGAAGTCCTATTCGGTTTGATGTCGTAGATCTGAGACGTGAAGTCTTTCCAATCTTTGCTGATGAATCTGGTGTCCCGATCACTCACAATAGTTTTTGGGACGCCGGACTGCAGAATGTACTGCTGATGGGATTCTTCTATGACAAGTTCAGTCGGGGCATGAGGAGGGAGAGGAATCAAGTTCAGAAATTTGGAGAAGCGGTCCACAATGACCATGACTTGTGAATTCCCAGCCTCACTCACCTTTCCCATGTCCGTGAAGTCGATGGAAATCGATTCACCGGGTCCATCAGGAATGGGGAGAGGTCTCAGTAGGCCATAAGGCTTATGCCTGTGGGCCTTGATTCTTTGGCATACCTGACATTCAACAATGAATTTCTAAGCAGATCCTTTTATTCCTGGCCAATCAAATTGCTACAGAAGACTTCCATAAGTCTTCTCAAAGCCAAAATGTCCACTCCGACCATGCGCCAAATCCAAGAAATGAGTTCGGAGAGGCGCATGGTTGGGTACACACAAACGATCAAACTTTCCATACCGGCGGAACACAAGACCCTCGCATTCGTGAAAATCAGGCTGACTCTTAGGGTCAGCCTTGAGCTGCTCAAGGATGGGACTGAGGTCCGGATCCTTGGCGGTGTGTTCAATCAGATCCTCCTTCAGTTTCCTTCGGAGGTCGTATGAATCCACAAGGCAAGTCAAATACTCGGGATGGCGCGACAAAGCATCAGCGATACGGTTATAACAGCCTTTCTTATGTTTCAACTCAAAACTGTAGACATCAATATCATGCAACCAGCGGGTCAATGTAGGAGAGAGTTCAGATTGTGTCTGAATCCACTGCAAGGTCTAATGATCAGAGTAGACCTTGAAGTGGCGACCCAAGAGGTAGTGCTTCCAATGTGCGAGGGCTTCGCGCAGGGCGTAAAGCTCACGCATATACGTGGAAGTAGCTACCTTTTTGATGTAATACTCGAGCGGACGCAGGCGATCACCATCATCTTGTTGCAGCACTGCACCAATCCCGAACTGGCTCGCATCCGTAGTAACTACGAACGTGAGGTTGAGGTCCGCAATGCGAAGCACATAATGACTCACCAATGCCTCTTTCAAGGCTTGGAACGCAGACTCACACTTCTCACACCATGCATAGGCAACGTTCTTGCTGGTTAGTCTTGAGAGCGGGTGAGCAATAATAGAAAATTTGGGTACAAACTTCCGGTAATAAGAAGCCAAACCGAGAAAAGAACGCAGTTCGTGTACGTTCGCTGGTTGAGGCCAGCTTTGAATGACGTCAACCTTGGTTGCCTCCGGCTCAAGGCCGTTTGCAGACAACCGGTGCCCGAGATAGATGACACTGTTCCTACCAAACTCAGATTTTTCCAAGTTGAGGTGCAGTTGAGCTTCTTTGAGGACTTGCAAAACCTCCTCAAGATGCTTGACGTGCTCATCCATGGACTTGCTGAAAATCAGAATGTCATCAAGGTACATAACCACAAACCTGTTAAGCTGATGGCGGAGTACCTTGTCCATGAGRCACTGAAATGTGGCTGGTGCATTCGTCAGACCTAAGGGCATAATGATGAATTCGTATAGCCCATCGCGTGTCTTGAACGCAGTTTTGTGCTGGTCGCTCGGATCAACTTCAATCTGGTGGTAGCCAGACTTGAGGTCGATCTTGGAGAAGACTTTGCAACCACCGGCCGCATCTAACAGATCATCTATACGAGGCAAAGGGTAGGCATTTTTCCTTGTAATTCGATTCAAGCCACGATAATCAATGCACATCCGGAGTTTGCCTCCTTTTTTTGGCACAAACAAGACAGGTGCGCCAAATTCAGACTCGCTAGGCCTAATCCATCCACGATCAATCATATCATCAATTTGTCTCTGCAGGTCCTCCAACTCGCCTTGTCCCATGCGGTAGACGCAGCCCTTTGGATGAACACTCCCTTCTATTATCTCGATTTTGTGCTTGACTGGACGCTCGGGAACTCCGCGAGGTTCAGCCAACACTTCAGGAAATCGATCCAATAGATGGCGAATGTTTGCTGGGATTTCTGGTGGAGGATCATCCTCATCAGGGGAAAGAAAACCAAATTGAGAATTTACAGCAATCACAACCGGTTTCGAGGTATTTGGATCAGAAACAGGTTGGTTATTTACATTAGAAGTAGGTGGTGCAGTAGCAGAAGTAGTACAGGTAGAGTTACCTTTAGAAAATGCAGCAAAAGGAGAAGGCACATGGAGAGGCTTTACAAGAGCTATATGTACAAACTCAGCTTCCTTGCGCCTGCGCACTGACCTGCAGAATTTGTTTGCACTTAGAAGAGTCACAGGGAACTCGCGCGTCTCGTCTAGTAAGACGGTACGCTCGTTCCCCTTGGCATCAAGTACCACGAACTGATTGTTTGCCCACCTGGTCCTTAGGCAATGAGCCTTTAGCCAGCCAAAGCCAATGACCGCGTCAAAAGGACACTTGTCCAAGACATAAAAATTTAGCTCATGTGTGATAGTGCGATCTTTGTCAAAGGTGATGCGCACACCTTTGACAGTATGAGTGGAAGTGACAACCTCTTGGTTGCCCACCTGAGTCCGGCAAGGGTTCTGCAGTTCCACTTGCTTCATACCCAGGCCCGCCTTACGAGTCCCGTTCGGAGAGAAGAAATTAGTGGTCGAACCACTGCCAATCAGCACACGGATGTATCGGCGGTTAATGAGTAGTTTAAAGAAAATCAGCTCCATGCTCCCTTGAACACCGCGTTGCTGCTTGAGCTGCAGCCAATGCTCCATGTGGGCGTGGAGGTCGACCTCTTTAGACTCCTCCCAACGCTCAGACTGCATCAGCCTTGGAATCAACATTAGTTTGGGCTTCAAGAGCACGCTGCTGATCAGATCCAGGCTCCTCGGAAGGGCCTGCAACTGACTGCCCAGCTTCCCTTGCTGTAGAGAGTGCTGATGACTCCTCTACGCCCCTTGCCTGTTTCCCTGAAGGCGATAGCAATCCTGCACAGCATGCCCAGGCTTTTGACAATGCAAGCATACGCGCAGTTTGGACCTTCTTTCCCATTCTTTTTGGCTAATGTGGAGGGCTTCCCAAGGCTTGGTAGAAGCGTCCTCCGGTTTCTCAGGGATCTTAGCATTTTTGGGAAGGTGTAAGACAGTTCCCTTACCCGAACCACGGTTAGGCCCCTTATTTGCAGCAGTCTTTCTGAATGCATTAAGTTTTCCATCGTCATTTCTGTCACACTCAATGGCTGATGCGGAACAGCCCGTATCGGAATCCGACTCTAGATCGTCATCTAGAGACAGATCATCCGCATAGGACTGATCTTCAGCCTCCCGATGATCATGCAGCGCAAGCTGGTTGCTGCTTCCAAACCGCTTGCGTTGTGGTTTCCCACCTGCAGCGGGCGCCTTCTTGCGCCTGACGAGGTCCTTGGCCTCTAGGTTGACTAGGTCCTTCATGAGCTCTCGCCAGGTGGCATGGTCCTTGAGTGCTAGCAGGGAGAGGTATTCTTTAGGGGCCACTCCCATGACTACATCCATATAAGATACGTCAGTCATTCCCAGATCCGGAGTGGTGAACAGACCAGTCAAGTGTTGTTCCAAAGCCTGGATGGATGACCTCCAAATTTGGCCCTTTGGGGCCTCAAGCTTCAGCCTAGCCTTGAGCGCAGCATGTTTATCTTGGTACCGGTCAACGAGAAGATCCTCAAGAGCGCAGACAGGGGTGACCTTCAGCCAATCAGTCAGGTCTATGCGTTCATAGCATGCAGCAACAGCTTGGAGCTCAATGTGGTCTGCCATTGGGCAGATGTGATGACCGCCATGCTGGAGGAAGGGGTGTCAGTAGAACTCTCAAGAGGGGTCCGCTCTCTCCTTACGTTTGGACAAACACTCCTCTTGCCCCTCCTCACACTCTCAAACAAAACACCTTCTCTCTCCCTTTCTTCTCTTTTCGCTGTCTGCGCACGCGTCTCAATACTTGACATAGATAGTTCAGATGAAAGAAACAAACTGAAAACCACTCAGAGAAGAAGGTAGAACTCCTAGCCGGAGCAGCGAATCATTTGGACTTAGAGCGTGGCACGCAGCAGAAGAATAAAGAAATAAACTAAATAAAAAAAATAAAACAGCAGAGAGGTCTGATTTATAGTACGGGCCCGATCAGATCAGCTGGAAATCCCCTCTTGTCTAACCTGACAGGGGACATGCATCACAATAAATCAGACGAAGAAGACTAATCTGCAGCAATGGAGATTTTGCGGGGTGCCGATCGTCGCCGAGTCAGACGGGGGGCAGTATGTGCTAACATGCAGTAAGGCCAGTCAAAATCCCCTTGAAAGGAATGCCCTTGCTGTCCGTACGTCCCCCTAGAAATGCACTGGCGGCAACAGATCTGGGCCCAAAAGGTCCTGTCCCGTTGGGCCTGGTCCCACAGGGTCCCGAGTGGTCCCAAGTAGGCCGTGGACCAGGACCAACGTGATAGGGGTACCAAGTCGTCCCAAACTGCCTCTACCGTACTGAAAAGGAAAAGACAACTTTCAGCAAGAACTTACGTCTACAGCCGTTCAGAAATGAAAAGACAATCCACCGTAGAAAGATATGTCATTTAGAGCAGATACATCATCCATCCATCCATCAGGTGAGAAAGCAATCCACAAGCTCACACACACAACTAAGACCGCAGAGAAGAGGAAGAGAACCCAGCACACCCCCAACAGGCCATGAAGCACCAAGCAACCTCCCACGGGCTTACCCAGGTCACACGACACTTACCTGTGAGGCCCGACCTCCAAAGATGGATAACGAGTCACTCCCCTCTCATATAAGTCCTCCTGACCCCTAGCTACCACTACACGAAGTGTCCTAGGATGACTAAGAGGGCCTTCCTACACCCATATTGCAAAGTCGGATCCCCCGTCGATGTCTAAAGACCAAAGTAGCAACTTGCAGCATTCCGATGCAGATATGGCAGCCTCCGATCAAGTCTCCCTCTTGAGGGGAAGCCCAAAAGTCACTCAATGTCTTCCTGAAGTCCTGATTCTAGGTGTGAGTACCTCTCACTCTCTACTCCCTCTCGCTTACTCCAAACAGCCTCCTTTGTGTCTCGCCACCCCATACATTCACTCAAGCAACCTGGTTGGGTCCAATGTCGACCCTACATGACCTAACCAGGTGGGGGCAGCATCCCCATACCTCGCTGCCCCACTTAACCCTAACTTCCCAACCCTAATCCGAGATTAGGTTAGCCTTAACCTAATTCGGAATTAGGGTTAGGGCGACTAACACCTCTCGCCAGCAAGTACACCCAATTGCGAAAGAAATGAAAGCACTTGCAAAGAGATAAAGACCAGAGGAGAAGAAGAAGAAGAAGAAGAAGAAGAAGAAGAAGAAGAAGAAGAAGAAGAAGAAGAAGTACACCAGCAAGACCAATGACAATTCCCCCTTCTCTCTCCACCTTCCTCCTTCCTCCTTCTCTTCACYAGTCTTATTCTTCTCTCATTAATAATAATAACAATGAATGGATGAACCAGAATCAATGTCCGAAGTTCCCTCTTACTGCTGACTCAACTCACAACAACAACAACATTAACAAGAAAGTCCACCATGGCCATGGCTTCCCTCCTTCATCCTCCTCTCCCATGCATAGGCCATGGCGGACTACTGGGAGGCAGCTATGATGCTGCCCTTATGTTCGAAAGACAACCCAAAGCAGCTATGTCGCTGCTTGGCTTGGTCCGCTATGCCTGACTCTGCCACGAGCTGCCCTGGTGCAGCGCTACCCCAACTGGGGCCTTCCAGATGCAGCGCCCGACAAGGTGATGAAGACGGTGTCCACCATAGCCAGGTAAGTGCCCTACCACTCTCCTACCATGCCCCCTTCTTCCTCCTCCTCAAGCTGGGGTGCTCGCCATAGCCAGGCTGAGCCCCAGCGGACCTTCACCTCCAAGCAGCGCTGCTTCAGTCCAGCGCTGCGCTCCAGCAGCATGTCGCCAATCCTTGCATACCGCAAATGAGGAAGAGCTCTCCGCTCTTCCTGAAGATATAGCGGCCTAYCGGCCTCCTGGGSGGTGACTTCCTAGGCCAAGCGGYCTCCCAGCAACCGGTACCTCCTCCCTTTTGGAGRGAAACATCATTGCAGGCTCTGTTATTGTCCGCACAGVCCCTAGACCYRGGCTACTTGGACTGGTACYGGCCTACCTCTARCCTACCGCTACTGGGCCTCTAAAAATGCCAACTTTTTGTCTTCTTCTGCTCTGCCTACCTGCTACTTGAGTGTTTTTCCCCAGCTGCTCTAAGTGTCGTGGGCCTACTCCCCGCTATCGGCGTGTTTGTCCCCCTGCAACCCTTCAAAGTCACGGCCATAGGTAAGTACCGGCCCGGTGGGCCTTGCAACCAACAAGTACCCTTGCGGGTCACACACACATACCCAACCAGCAAGCACTCAGACAGGCATGCAAACCAGCAGGCACGCACACACACACAACCGGCAAGCACTCAGACAGGCATGCAAACCAGCGGGCACGCATACACACAGACTTGGGACCACAGCAGAATGCAGGAATCACAGCAAGGCATTCATTCCATTGGCAAATCCCAAAAATCAGCAGTGTTCCCAGTCTGTGTTTTTGGCGGGTCATTACATCTCTCTCTCTCTCTCTCTCTCTCTCTCTCTCTCTCTCTCTCTTCTTTTGCGCGCGCACACTCGACCTGGCGGCCATCACCCCATGCCCCTCCCCCTGTCCGGCCAGTGCTGCTCCTGCTCCCGCTATCCTGCTCCCGCTATCCGGTTACCACCACCACTTCGCTATCCCGCCCCACTATCCCGCTCTCTCTCTCTCTCTCTCTTTCTCTCCCTCTCTCTCTCTCTCTCTCTCTCTCTCTCTCTCTCTCTCTCTCTCTCTCTCTCTCTCTCTC